TTTTGGATGTTTTGTGTGAAATACACATACACAAATCAATAAAAAAAATACAATTATGGGGCTGGAGAGATGGCTTAGCAGTTATGACTTCTCTTGCACAGAACCTGGGTTCAATTCCCAGCACCCACATGGTGGCTATGAACCATCCTTAATTCCAGTTCCAGGGGAATTTGAAACTCTCTTCTGGCCTCCATGGCCCTGCATGACATGGGTGCACTCACATACACGCAGGCAATACACTCATACACATAAAATATTAAAAGAAATATTACCATTATATTAATCATTTGAATATTTCTTGTGGGCGGCCAATGTGTCTTTTCACAATATAGTAGATTTTGTTTTCATGTGCTTAATATTTTCAGGTTTAATTTATTTTCATTTTTAATAAATTAAAAAATATTTCATACAATATATTTTGATTGTATTTAGATACTCTCCCCTGTCTGTACACCATTTACTACCCTATCCAATTTCTTGTTCCCTCTGTCTCATCCTCTCTTTCTTTCTCCATATATATATATATGTATATGTATATGCAGACATTCACTGGATCTTGGTCAACTTAAGAAGATTTTCCATCCTTAAGAGAGAAACTTTCTCCCTCTCCCTGAAGCCTGTCATGGCCAATACTTTCTCAAGTATCAGTGGTGTTTCTTAACAACCTCTCCGTGTCTATGCTGAGATTTTGCCTGTCTTGAATGTATTTGGGACTTGTACATGCTGTCACCAATGCTGTGATTTCATGAGTTCCTTCCAAGTTTTCTATAATCTTTATTTCTTTGTGTTATTCCACCATCTGTGACTTAAAATAGTTCTGTTTGCTATTCTGCAACGATCCCTGTGGCTTCAAAGGCAGAATTTTGACATAGGTGTCTACTTGGGGATAGGTACTATGCAGTCTAATTATCTGCACATTAGTCAGTTGTGGGTCTTTGTATGATTCACAACGTGCTGCATACAGAAGCTTCATTACAGACAAATGAAAGATGCATTAGTCTACTGGTATAACAATTAGTCATTTGTAGTAAATTTAATACTATACATATTTAGCAGAATAATAGTATTCAGCCCTTTCCTATAACCCCTAAGCCTCATATCCATGCTAAATATGGACTCTACCTTATGAAGGACACCTTAAGTCCAATTAGGAAGTGATTGTAAACTCCCAAAATATTTGTGTCGCTATTGCACACACCTTGCCAGACCAGTTTTCTTGTAGCTCACAGGATTCACATCTGGATAACATTGATGATCAATTTTCTCTATGGTAGCATACAAAGCACCTCCAGCACTGTGAAGACTAATCAATAGAGATGAAGTTTTGAAGTCAGTACCAGCTTGATTTCTCCTTTTTTCTTCTATAACTGATGGGTGTAGTGTCTTCAGCAGCTGCATCTTGTCATCAAATTCTGGTGGTAAGAGTGAATTAGTTTCTAGAATGTATGATGAATTCAAAATACTAAACATCAAAAAGTATACAACTCTGAATATGGGGTAAGGAGCTAGACAGGCAGTTCTCCAAGTACAGAACAGAAATGTCTTAAGATCTTATTTTAAAATGTTGTACATCAGTAGTCCTTAGGGAAATGTAATTTAAACCATTTTGTGATTTATTAATCCGTTCACCATGGCTATCATCCAAAAGCCAAACAACAAGCTGGGTGTGGTTGCACACACTTTTAATCCCAGAATGGACAGTGGGAGCTGGGCCCAAATTTCACGCTTTGGTCAGGAGCTATTGGTAATTGATAGGTGCTAGGTGAGTGTTCTTCAAGGGTGTGGCCCCAGGTATGTCACCTTCTCTCTGTGGATGGCCCCATATTCAAGTGTTTATGTACAGTTCAGAGCACATTTTATATTTGGGTAAAAAATAAACAAGAAACAAAAATCTGAGAAGAAAATATTGGGTAGGTCATGAAGGGATGGCCTTGAAAGGACTTCTAGGAGAGAACAACAATTTGATATAAATTCATTCTTTGAAATTCTCATAGAACTAACAAAAAGTGGGAAAAATAAAAAAGTACATCACATGCCTATATCAGTTCTCCTCTCTTTAATGCTCATAAGTATAATATACAAATTAAAACATAAATTTTGATACATGGGTAATACCTGACGTTGTATGTAGCTGTATTTTTTGTTTGTTTTCCAAATACAGTGTTAAGTAAATGAAAAAATAAAGTTGTGAGATAACAGCAATGATCCCATCTAGACTCGGGCTGTCATTCCTTGGAGATATTGAAATACAGCTTCATTTTTGTTCTTTTGCATTTAATATTGACAGGTCAACTGTCTTTAGGAATTCTTGCATTTCTTCTAGATCCATTTCTTTTAGCTTTTGAACATGTATCAGTTATTTTTTAATGACAATTTGTATTTCATTGAAGTATCTTTTAGCAATTTCTTCTCACCTGTATTTTTATTAATTTGTTTTTACTAGCACTTTTTTTCCCTTGTCCAGTCTTTCATCAGGTTTTTCCAATGGATACACTGATGGATTTCATATAATGCTTTCTATTCTGTTTTGATTTTTTTTCTTCTGTGTTGGTTATTTCTCATTGTCTAATGCACAGTGTTTATTTTCTTCATTCAGGAGAAAATTGAATTCCACTTCTATGTTATTATTTTTTAAACCTGTATTTGAGGTCATGATATTTATTGATAATGTATTTTACTTAAAGAAGAAATTTGTAGGAATTTGAAAATTCCCATCTTGGGTATATCAATGACCCAAAATTCATTCCAATGAAATTTGCTCAATAAATATTTACACAAACTTTCATTTTTGCTCTAGTTTATGTGTAATTTTCTTCCACTGTAACTTAAAAATACATGATCATATTTTATTTATTTTTTCTGAATCAGCTGAATTCATTTACCTGGAAAGCAACTGCACCTCTCTGAGCCAATTTAGAAAACACTGTACTAAGTGCAAGGGGATGGTAGCTTTTAAAGGTTAAGTCTCAAAGATAAAGTCCTTGTCAGAATTTACTTAAAGACAAGCAGTCACATGTTTGTTCTTGTCGGTGGGCAAGCAAGCAGTTCAATCAATTTTATAAACAATTGTTTTAGATGATGCTGGCTTTGCAATCCATGTTGTGATCTTTTCTAGAATAATATGAAAAATTTTTATTCTTACTTTGTCTAAGTAACAGTCATTGAAATTCTGTTTATCTATGAAATAATTCAGATTTTGAGGAATTTGTCCCCCAAATTTTGGGAAAATTTATTCTAGTATAAGGTGGTGGACTGATATTGCTATTTGTTATTATATCACAATGAATTCTAAGCTTGTTTTTCTACTTGTTTTTTGTATTATAAAATTAGGACTCATAACATTATGTACAAAAAATTGACAATTGTTCTCTGTAAAAATTTCTTTCTACTAATATGTACTGATAATTTCATCTCTTCTACCTATATTTGCTTGAAGTCTGTTTTATGATCCATAGGAATAGATATTCCACCTTGTTTATATATTCTTTTAGCTGTTCGTTTGTTTGCCATAATTAGTTCTAGATTTCTGAATGTTGTTATTAATAAAGTGTGTTTCTTGGGCAGAAGAGATACTTGAATCTTAGTTTGTACACATTCTCCTTGACTTTAACTTTTAATTGGTGACCTGAGGCAATTTTCATTTAATATTGTGGGAGGATTTTTTAAATTCAAAATGATTTTGCTGGTGTTCTGACTGTTAGAATCATTGATTAGTATTAATCTTTATTAGTATTAATATTGAGTTCTACTGTTTTCTGTGTTGCTAATGGCGGATTCCTTCTGGAACATGGTGTGTTCATCAATTACTCTTTACACTTGTATTCTGATTTCTGTTCCTGTGAATGAGAGTGTCTTTCTCCTCTGTGTGTCTTGTTTGCCTCCATAAATTCTGATGTGATGGCTTTCTTGACTTGAATTAGTAAATTTCTTCAGATGAAGTTCTTCCTCCATCAAATTTTTTATGAAAAGCAGCTCATTTTTTTTTTTGTTCCAGTGCCATTTGATGAAAGTAGAATCCTGTGGTTGAGAGAATAATTAGGGATGTGTAATGCAAGTTACATTGTATGCATTTTACTTAGAGTAGAATGAAGTTTTAATAGTAAAAAGCAAATTCAAATGTATGAACTTTTAGCCAATCTAGCACACTCCATCCTTGGCTGCTGTCTGGTATTTCCTTCATGTAGAGGCTCATCTTATGGTACGATTATTGATAACTAGAGAATTTTTATTTGTTAGATGTACCAATTATTTTTAGTTATGGAAAAGAAAAGAAGGCAGAGAGGAAAGTTCTATGAAAAAGGAAAAAATCATCTTCCCTCCCTCCTTCAATTATAGAGGGCCAGTGAGGCGACTTTTACTGACCCAGACTCTCCCTCCAGGTGCACTGAGCTGGTCCACGGTGAGGAGTCAGTGTGGGTGTTCCTCAATTAATTTTAAGAGATACTTTTCATACAAGTCAATTTTAGTTACTATGTTCACTTTCAGTACGATAAATGAATTTTTACATTGTCTCATGCTGTTTTACCTCTGGTCTTTCTTGACAAGAGATCTGATATTGTTACAAATTTCTTGCCTCTGTAAGTAGTTGGTATTTTTTCCTGACAGGATCAAGTATTGATTTTATTTTTTGCTTACTCTTTTTCTCATGTTGTCTGTGGCTTGTTATGTAGAGCTCGGTTAATACTTATTTCATCTTTCATCTCTCTCAGTGACTCTCTTGTGACTGTATATCTATGTACTGCTGTATTTTTCATATCATTTCTAATTTATTTTTATTGAATAAATTTTGTCACTTACTTTTGATTTCATCTCCCCTTTTCCTCCATATACTTTTATTTTTGTTCATTTGAATGTTTCTCAATGTTGGAAATTTTATACATTCATATAAATATTCTTCATGGATCTGTGAGTATGTGATTGTCTCAGCCTTTTTTTTCCATATTGAAATATTTTCTTCTCTTTTGCTTTGCCTGGAGAACTCAACTCTTAGAAGACATCAAATGGCGTGTAATGTAGAGAAACCCTGCAAATGTGAAGAACGTTACAAGTCCAATACCCATGTCTCAAATCTTAGAAAGCATAAATGTATTCATACTGGAGAGAAACCCTACAGATGCATAGAATGTGACAAGTCTTTTATTTGGATGTCAAGTTTCAAATTACATCAGAGAGGTCATACTGGAGAGAAACCCTGCATATTTGAAGAATGTGCCAAGCCCTTTAGTCATATGTCAAGTCTTAGAGAACATCGGCAAATTCATACTGGAGAGAAACCCTACAAATGTGAAGAATGTGGCAAGTCCTTTAGTCAAACGTCAAGTCTTAGAGCACGTCAGCCAGTACATACTGAAGAAAAACCCTGCAGATGTGAAGAATGTGCCAAGTCATTCAAACGCATGTCTAATCTTAGAGCACATCAGCGAATAGACACTGGAGAGAAACATTACAAATGTGAAGAGTGTGTCAAGTCCTTTAGTAAAATGTCACATCTGAGAGCACATCAGCGAATACACATGGGATTGAAACCCTACAGATGTGAAGAATATGTCACATCTTTTAGTAAAATATCAAGTCTTAATGTACATCAGAGAATTCAAACAGGAGAAAAACCCTACAAATGTAAAGAATATGGCAAGTCCTTTAGTCAAATGTCAAGTTTGAGAGCACATCACTCAGTACATACTGGAGAGAACCCCTGCAGATGTGAAGAAAGTAGCAAGTTCTTTGCTCAAATGTCAAGACTTAGAACACATCAGCGAATACATATGGGAGAGAAACCCTACGGTTATGAAGAATGTGGTAAGTCCTTTAGACATATACCACATCTGAGAGTACATCAGCGAATACTCATGGGAGAGAAGCCCTACAGATGTGAAGAGTGTGGAAAGTCCTTTAGACGTATGTCAGATCTTAGAGCACATCAGCAAATACATACTGGAGAGAAACCCTACAGATGTGAAGAGTGTGGAAAGTCCTTTAGACGTATGTCAGATCGTAGAGCACATCAGCAAATACATACCGGAGAGAAACCTTACAGATGTGAAGAATGTGGCAAGTCCTTTAGACGTATGTCAGATCTTAGAGCACATCAGCAAATACATACTGGAGAGAAACCCTACAGATGTGAAGAATGTGGCAAGTCCTTTAGACGTATGTCAGATCTTAGAATACATCAGCAAATACACACTGGAGAGAAACCCTACAGATGTGAAGAATGTGGAAAGTCCTTTAGACGTATGTCAGATCAGAGCACATCAGCGAATACATACTGGAGAGAAACCCTACAGATGTGAAGAATGTTGCAAGTCCTTTAGACGTATGTCAGATCACAGAGTACATCAGCGAATTCATACTGGAGAGAAACCCTACAGATGTGAAGACTGTGGCAAGTCCTTTAGTCAAATGTCACATCTTAGAAGACATCAGCGAATTCATACTGGAGAGAAACCCTACAGATGTGAAGAATGTGGCAAGTCCTTTAGTCAAATGTCACATCTTAGAGCACATCAGCGAATACATACTGGAGAGAAACCCTACAGACGTGAAGAATGTGGCAAGTCCTTTATGATGAGCTCAACTTATAAGAAATGTAAGAGAATTCCTATTGGAGAGAATCCCTAGAAATGTGAGGAATATAAGAAGTCCTTTAAAACGATATGTTAGATTAGAGCACATCATGTAATTCACACTTCAGAGAAACCCTACAAATGTGAAACATATGACAAGTCCTTTAGTCAGATCGAATATTTAATCAGAGAATTCATACTAGAAAGTAATCATTCCAATAAGAAGAATGTGAAAAACTGAGAGCTCAGCACATAGAAGACATGAGGGAATCATACTAGAGAGAAACCACACAAATGAAAACAGTTTGAGAGGTCCTGTACTTGTATTTCAACTCTTAGAGAACATCAAAGAATTTACAATAAATGGAGACACTGCAACTATAAGGAAAAGGACAATTTCTTTAATAATATATCAAATGGTGGCAGTTCTCAAAAACTCATACAAAAGAGATAGGTCACAATTGCACAGAATATGGTACGTCCTTTACCCTTGGCTCTATCCTTAGAAAGTAAAGCAGAATCTGTACTAGAGGGATATATCTAAAAGTCTGGAAAATGCTCAAATGCTTATATTTATGTATTACAAAACTTCAAGTGCACTGAAGGAAAAAGAATTAAGCACAAAATTACAAAATCTCTATTACAGAATTAAGCACAAAATTGCAAAATCTCTTTAATTCATAAGTGTGAGAATATAGAAATATAATTACTGTGAGGATTAAGTGTGAGAAACTAGAAATATAATTACTGTGAGAAAGCCTTTACTTTCCCATCCAATTCTGTTGAATATCACAGAATCTTTATTGTAGAGAAAACCTACAGATAAACAAAACATGTCAGCCACCATTTACAAATGGCTCCTGTCTTAGGAAACATCAGAGATTTCTTCATGAACAGGAACCTCATAACATTCAAAGATTAATACCTCATTATTTACAGTCAAAGAATACACTGTGTGAATAAAGCAGTGTGCTGGATAGCTTTAGTGTCAACATGACACACCTGGAACAGGGAGCCCTAATTGGGGAATTGCCTCCATTTGTTTGGCATGTGGCCATATCTGTGGAGCAATTTTCTTGACTGTTTTGTGATGTGGGAGGGCCCAGCCCACTGTGGGTGGAGCCATTCCTGGGCAGGTGGTCTTGTATTTTATAAGAAAGCAGTGTGGGCAGGTGCAAGGAGAGAAGGTAGTAAGCAGCACTCCTCCATGGCCAGTCCTCCAGCCTCAGCCTCCAGGTTCCTGTCCTAAGTTCCTACCTTGGCCTGCCTGATGAACCCTGGGAGATGTAAGGCAAATAAACCCTTTCATTCCAGCTTTGGTATCGGTGAGAGTGTTTTGTTTCAGCAGTGAAGAAACAAACTAGAACAAGAGCCTAAGTATCATTGAGTTGCCGCATATTCTCTAAATATCGTTTGAATATGTGAAAATTTTAATACATATATGCAACTTGGAAAATCCTAAAGTGTATGAAGTCATTGTATCTTAATTTGCATGTGAAGGGGGAAAAGATTAATGAAAATGTCTTTTTAAAGGTGGAAATTCCATAATGAAAAGGCCGGCACACAGTACAGTCCCTATATGACAAGCTAGAATATTCTTTTAAAAAGTTTTACAAATGTATTTCAATAATTTCTATATTTTCATCAAGTGGTATATATTTTGATAGACATAATTGTTTTATTTAGAAACATTAGTGCTGCCAAAATTGGCACCATAGGCTAGTTTGACCTTCAACTACATTCATATTTTCACTAAGCATGGTGACTCATGTGTATAATCCCAGTACGCAGAGGCAGAGGCAGTCAGATCTCTGTGAGTTCAATGCTAGGATGGTGTGCCTTGTGAGTTTGAGGTCTCTTGGGGATACAGAGAGACCCTGTCTCCAAAAATGACCCCCCAAAATTCATATTTTCTAATTTATCAAGGATATTATGAAAATTTATGGAATTTTGACTCAGAGTTGAAGGGATGTATTTTTGTTCAATGTGTTAGCAATGCTTCATTAGTACCAACTGTTCCATGAATAAATCATGGACAAGAAAATTCATCAGAGCAGATATATTTCTTTTTGATGAGTGATAATGTATTTTAGCATAATGTATGTTTGGCATATTTCTACCATAGGAAAACAAAAGGAGAATCCTGAGTATTCAAAAGCAGTCATTTCCAATGACTCACTGGTGAGAATAATCTGAAAAGTATATTAATTTAGTGCTGTATAACACAATAGAAAGAATAGTTAGATGATTTCAGTATCAGTTAATGTAGTAACAACCACAAGTGGAAAATTAAAACTTACCTCCTTAGATTTGTGATTTTAATGTTTTACTATCCTATTACATTTTAGCCTAGTCTTTGAAAATTGCACATAATGATGAAAATTGAAGATGCTGTCGCCTTTTGTTCCAATACTCAGGAGTCAGAGGCAGGTGGATGTCTGTGATTTCAAGGCTAGCCATGTCTGTATAGCAAGTTTCAGGCCAGCTGGGATTACAGGGAGAGTTTGTCTCAAAAAATAAAATAGCAACCCAACAGCAGATAATTTTTGGTCATTGAAGTATCACTTTTGTGGCCACCAAGCTAGTGTCACAATCTCGTGTCCTACAGAGAGACATTTTGCTGTGGGAAGAGTCTGCTCAGTTGACTCTGGCTCCAGAATTGAAGGCTGTTCATTCCAATGCTGTGAATGGTGGTGAGCACACCTGTGTTAAGACCGAGTCTGTGCTTAAATGTCATTTTGCCCAGCTAACGGACTAGCTGCTTCTTGTTCCTTCCCTGGCTCAGTCTCTCTTTACTTTGCACTGCTTATTCCATCTGGCAAGGACGTGAGTCATTTGTTTATCAGCATGGTGCCTTCAAGTGGTTTGGGTCAGTCTTTCTGATTATAACATCAGCTCTGACAGAGCAGGAGCTATTCCTGTTTGTCCATCTCTGAGTCTTCAACTTCTACCACAGATCCTGACACACAGAGCCACTCAGCAAATATTTATTGAATAAATTAACCAACAGATGAATGAGAAAATGAGATTTTTTTAAAAGATACCACGAGCACTCTGGAATTAGTTTCAGAGGTGAAGAAAAGAAGGAATCAACCTTCTGTGTCATGGCTGAAAATTGAAGTAAAACACTAAGTACTTCGTCCTAAGTGGCAGACCCTAATCTTGATCCTGAAGGCACCTCAAGGTAGAGCTCTACATTGCTCTGAACAGTGGCATCTTTTCTAGGATAAGTATTTCTCTCCCAACGTGATTCCTGGAGGGATACCAATTTGAATTTATAAGCTGTGTCATCTATTTAAAGCCAGTTTCTTCATTACCTCAGAGCACTGCATGCTTTGAATATCTCACATAATGTATAGGCTTACTTTAGAAAACTCCCTGGTTGTCAGCTGAACCCCATGAACAAAGTGGTCTTTCAGTGCGGAGAGAGATCGCTGCTGACTGGCAGGTCAAAGGAGCTCTTGCCACGATGGTGATGACGTCCCTAGGAACATGAGAATCCTCAAAGAACAACGATCAGCATTTAGTTCCTCACCCTGTACTGGGCGTGTCATTGCTCTTCTGGTCTCTAGCCCTGCCACTCCCCTCGTCTCTCACTCCAGCTTGCTTTTCTGGGAAAATAAAAGATTTGGTCTGGAGATAATAGCAATGCAGATGTAAAAACGTTTTCAACATAATATAAAGTTTGAATCATGATGTTTGTACCATGTTAAAGAAAATAAACTTGCTGATGTATTTTAAAGCAAAAAAAAAAAAAAAATTCAAGACATTTTATTCCAAGTCAGAGTATTAATGATGGAAAAGAAAGATACTATGTAAGATACGATTATAAATTATTGTATTTACACAAAAGTATGAATACACAAAATGCATATTGATATATGTGTAGATAGAATCATATCTATAGGAAACATATTTGTATTCCCAGTATTTTGAAGACAGTACACTATCTGTTAGTTTAATATGGAAATAAATTCAATCTGTCTTGTTTTGTAAGGATCATGTGATAATTTGTTTCAATAGCTGCTGTATGGGAACTGATGAATCCATAGTACATTATTAAGGCATCATTAATATTAGTATCACTGTTAATGAATAATGTCTTATGTAAAATATATGAACGACATCAAAAGGTTGATTTTCTTTGTTTATTGAGTGGCACTAAGAATGAACTTCAGTGTACAGTGGGTGTGCTGGGCTTCAGTCCCCTGCTAATTCAAAACAGCCAATCCTGAATTTTTGAAATGAACTATATTTTGATTAATAAGATGATTACATGGAAGTCCAGTGAATTACTAATATTTTATTAAACTAAAAATTTAAATATTTTTGTAGGTAGTGTTGAATGATATTAATAAAAGTTTTCTGTAAAGCTAAACAGATAAGTGAAAATAGTCATTAAAAGGTATAAGTATATTTATATGTTCATTCAAGTCTATAATAAATTTTAGTGTTGCTCTTTGAAAACGTTGTGTATTGACTTCCAAATTATCTATTAATTTAAAGAAATCCTATTTCTTTAGTTATTTTAAGATACATTTTGAATAAAATGCATTGAATTTATTTGGAAACTGTTTTAAAGCTGCATATAAGTTGATATTTTAATAAATCAAGTGTATAATGATTTAATAAAGAAATCCTTTGAAAAAAATACTATCTTCCTTCCAAATAGAAACTCTCACCTCCTTCAACATATGATAAGCGAAGGCTAATACAAGGATAATCTATCAAATTTGGGTAAATCTGTGGATTGGATTTTCCCAGGGATCTGTTTCTTTGAGACTTACTCTCAAATAATTTGCAAGATCTATTTATTAGAGGTTATATAATATATTAGAGACATTATGATAAATATAATGATGATTACCTGGCCTTGTTATTTTAATCCTAATTTATGACTACTGACATATTTAAAAATTGTCACTACTTTTCTTTGCATCTACCCCTACCTCTTTGTGGGACAGCTGA